TTTTTTTTTTTTAACACGATCTTAGATCTTAAGACCGGGATACTATTGGCTTGGACCACATCTCATTACATCTGTCCAACTATCTACCGCGTTAACTCTTCAGCCGTGTCCGATGTTCGTGCTAAGTCAGTAAACAAAAGACCAATGAGATTGAACTAGACCCGCGACCACCGTACAACGTATGGGATCGGAGGTTTCCTGCGCGTGCATCGCAGCGAACGACTCAACAAGTTTCCGTTCAGACGAAGTTTCCGTTTTCCGCTACCGTTACATGTACGGGTTCGAGACGTGCGCGAAATCCCACGTCGCGCCCGCACACCTGTCCGCTCACCGGCCGTATCGTAGTCGCGCGCGCGCGCATAAACGTACGCGATGTATTGTTCCGCGACAATAATAATCTATCGCATCCGGCGATAAGCTGAACGCGTGCGGCGGTGGCCGACGACGACAATCGTTGACTAATGGAACCCATAACTCAGCTTCGCCGTCCGTGAGGATTTATCCCGGAAAATACTCTCTCCGTACCCGTCGGGATCGCACCGGCGTTCGGATCCCGGGGGATTTGCGCGCACCGCCACGAGGGTTTAACGGGTCGGTTCTACGGCCGCACCGCCGCCAGCATTAGGGGTGACTTTACTTGATTGTTTTATTTTTTTTTCTCTCTCCGCCCCCCCCCCCCCCGTCTGGACCGCGTGTCCCGTTTCAAACTCGTTTCGCTGCAAACACTCAGTCTGCACGTGATACGATGTAATAATTACGTTGTCGGTTTGCCGTTGCGACCGAGGAATATACCGCGGCGGTTGATCAACACGCGAAGACTTGCGGATCCGTCCAGACGAACGGTCCTACCCCCAGGTTTGAGGTCAGACGGGCTATTATCGACTCGCTCGGCCTTCAGATAAATCATGGTTAGCGTTCTAACACGTACGGATTTCGAGTGCAGCAAATTATTAGTACGCGTATTAGTTTCACCGGGGTCATAGTTCGGGTCATAGCGCCGTGACGCACAAATAATATTATGATTTGTAGAACGTTATGTGTTCTTAGATTTTTTCGTTTACGACGTTGTCGGAAAGTGTTTTGCCATTTGAAACCCTTCCCGACTATATGGTCGAACGCTCGTGTTCATACCATGTGCAGTCAGTGCCGAAGACTTAAGCGTCTCAGGGCCCCAAGGCAACTACTATGGAAAAGGCATTTTAAAAATATAATAATATAAAAACTGATTCGACATACTTTAATGATAAATTGTTGTACATGTTTCATTTTCATAAATAAAATAAATATATGTTAATGGATGTATAATATATGTAAATTAATAATCGGATACATAGAAAATACTAAAAATGACAATGTTATTAGGTTAGGTCTACCAACTAAACATACAAAAATTACTTCAGATTCAAAAGGTGCATTTTTTATGGAACACCCTACATATATTTTTTTCAAATTATAATTGAAAAAAAAACTTTTGCTTAAATAATTTTTTTACCTAATATTTTTTTTTTTTTGTAATTCTATTTATGTCGCCCTGGAGCAAATGCTCCTTTTTCATCTAAATTAACCTGACTATAGAATTAAATAGCTCAACAACAGTGCTTAGTTCAACGTTTAAAGATTGCAGAGCTTTGCTTACTTAATTTAAAATTTCTTGGACATTTATTACACAGTAGAATCAAAAAAACACATATCCAGTGAGCCACAGAAATCACGCAGACTCAATGGCTTGAAATGCATCGATGATTTTTTTACTCGTATAACTGGCAATGATTTTAAGAGTTTCCATGATTTCGGTCCAAGAGACACAAACATTTTAAAATCGTAAAAAATGTAAAATGTAAAACTTTACAAGCACTAACTTGTTCAAGTTAGACCACCTTGTCTGAGAACGGCTATCCAGAACTGTTGAATTTGGCTTAAGTTTTTCGATTATTATAGATCTCAAGAAACGGTCGTAAAACTTAGCATAATTCTATTATTAATAACAGATATAAATATAATCAAACGGGAATAATAATCACTGATAAATAGCACGAAATGTATAAAATACGGTTCCGATACACATTATCATTTTTTAAAAACAAATCAATATAGTGTAACATAATATTAATTTCCAGGTTATTATTCTTATAAGCCTATTTCTGTTATACGTCACTGGAGATATGTATATTGTATGGGATGTGTGCACTCTAAAGGTGTATTTCCAACTTAGTACAATTATACATCATGTTTTTCGAAATTACAGAGAACAATTGTGTAATATTTATAAGTATCATGGATTCCTACTCCTTAATTATCAAGGTTACCATTCTTATATTTTTATCAACGCTGGTTACGGCACTCAGACGCGGATCTCTAGGGGGTAATAAGTGTCATTCCCTCTCCCTTCAAAAAAAAAAAAAAAACACAAGATTAGGTCCTTCTTGTTTATGTCTAAATTGCTTTTTTAATTTTTCAGATTTTTATTCGAACCAAAAATGTTTTACAACTTACATACGTTCGAACTTCAACACCACTTGTTCATAAAAACATAATTTCCTTCAAACTTTTAAGGAAATTAATAGTGATTATAATCTAAGTAACGATAATAATTTTGACGAGTAAATATAAATATAATAATAATTAAAAATTAGCAATTGTGTATAATGTTATAATTTTAATTTATAATTTACTTTTATTCATTTTTAATTATTATCCTTTTTTTTTAAAAAAAAAGTTATCCTTCTCCCCATAGTTCTACATCGAGCACTGTTGTGTTTTTTGGTTAAAAAATACAAGCTGACAAAATTTGAAAAAAGCCAAAAATATATATGTAATAATAATTAAAAACTATTCTTTTAATTTTTTTATCAATATTGACAAAAATACATATTAATCGTTTAAAATCAAGGAGAGACGTTTTTTTTTTTTTCAAGCTAGTAACGGAAAAGGATTTAACTAAATTTTAATAGGTTGAATGTGAACGTGAACTACAAGTAATTACTTTTTTAATAGAATTTTCTAAGGTCTGATATAAATACGAGTACATGCTGGTCTATTTAAGATTAATAGATTCGAAAACTATCTAGTGGATTAATTTGGTAACTACACCTTACTTAACCCATTGGTAAAATAATACCTTAAAATAGATTTTTTATAGGTACTTGTGTATTAAAGGGCTACTGAAGGATTTCAACCTAAATAACTTTCAAACCTTTTCCGAACAACTCAAACCATTCAGCAAAAATCTACGTAAAAATCGGTCCAGCAAGAAGTTTTTGAGTCAATCAATTGAATTAATCTCAAATAGACCAACATGTATTTTTATCAGATCCTAAAAAGTTCGTTTAAAAAAAGAACAAGTTCACTTTCACATTTATCTAATTAAAAAGAAATTAAATTCTTTTCCGTTACTGGCTTGAAGAAAATAAATTGTTGATGCTTTAATAATCTTAAAATTTAATCAATTTAGGTAACTCATAGTTGAACGGTTTTCCATTCACTAACGATGGCATACTACGCTTGACTTGACATTTTATAACCTTTGTCAATTTTATTTTATCGAATATTTATAGGTTAAATTTTATAACTCTTTACATATAAATAAGGCAGAGAAGTTATAGGAGGTAAAATTGGAAAAATATGCACATAAAAAATTGAAAATATGCATTCAAATTCATTAAATATGCAAGATAATATGCACAAATTTATATGATATAAATAACTCCATAAAAAAAAATAAAAAAAATATGTTCTGAATGCTCAACGTTTTGACCACGTCGGTTTTTATTATTTATTTTTGTAACATCTTTTCATCGTTTCAATCGTTTCAATCGTTTTTCCCTAAATCGCCAAGGATTTGTATTTCACTAAATGAAATTATCAACGAAAATATTAGATGCAAGTACATTTAATGAATATTTTTCGAAATGCCAAGCGTTGAACGGAAGAAGTTTCGAACTGTTACCAACACGTTAGTGGCCAATATCTTATCAACATTTGATTTAAAATCACCGAGCGTACTTAAATGAACTGTTTATATTCGGATAACCGTTAAATTTTTAAGAGAATGAATATTTACTCCGAAGTTTAAATTTATCAATGATCGATTGTACATGTGTTTTTTTTTATATTTTTAAATACTTGTATTCACTGCCAATAATACATTATTTTATTATATTTGTCTGTTGAACACTTGAATACATCTGCGACATTTTTATTGTATAAAACATTTAATTGCAGTTGACCATTGTAATAATATAACAATAATTACAATTTTTTTTTTTCATTTTTTTTTTGAAGCATGATGAATAGTAATTTTAATTTATGTACTATTTAACATAATACTACTCGTCTAAGTGTAAGTCATAATAATACAATCAACATTTTTTTTTTCCATTGTAAATTGTAAAACAAATGCTTATCTATATTACACTCGTAACAATATATACATTTAATATATCAGAATAAAAGTTAGTGTACATAATATGTATTAACATTACATAGTTTAAATAAAATTGATAATAAAAAATGTAATTATTATAGTTTGTTAAATAAAAAGTCTCAATTAACCGTAGTTTTCATTTATCTGTGCTACTCCTCCTCACCGTAACTCTGGATAATCGTGGTTCTACTGTATGTACAACACAATGATGATTACATATGAATAAATATCAAAACAAATGTACGTCCAATAAAAATTGGTAACTTTAATAAGATTTTGCAGAACATTTTCCATCAAAAAATGATAGCAAACATTTCAATATTTTTCAAAATATAATTTAATTGATAATGTTAGTCGGATCATTACAACTTACTACTATGTAAACCATTAAATAGAATAGTTCCATATTCATCTTAGATATTTTGAACTTTATGATGATATAAATGTAAAAAAAAGTAAGTAATTTGTATATATCATTAAAAAACACTATAAATAGATATTGCACTTCGAATAAACGGGCTAAATATTAAAAGACAATTCATTTTTTTAGTAAAATAATTAAGGAATAACACACCACTATCTAAAATACCAATATATTTTCTATAACATACCGAATATAATATGGTGTGAACCAACTAAATTATACTTTTCATCAGTGAAGTAACATTCTCGAAGCTGACACAAAATCAGTATATACAAAATGTCACAATATTAGTTACAAGCAACAATGCAACGTACAAATTATGATAAAAAGAACAATTAATGTTAAAAAAATAAATTTACTTTTTATCAAATTTATTCTCACTAAATACTAACATTGAAAGTTTAAAATTAAACGTAATATATCAATAACTACTTCTCAGCATCCTTGGATGTCTTTTTGTCTGATGATTCACTACTTTTATTCCAATCTTGAAGTCCCTTAGGCAAGGATGTGTCTTCGTCCATTGAACCAGTTCCCTCAACAAATTCTTCATAAGTTGATTTCTCTACAAAAGGTCTAGCTCCTAAAAGATCAATCATATCTTCTCGACTAAGGATTTCCTGTTTTAATAATCTTTCAGCAACCTGAAGATAAAAATATAAATATTACAAATCAATGATAGCATACATAATTTTTATATACAAAAATTAATATGAACTGAATACATTTAATAATAAATAAAAAATAAATATAATAAATTTAAATTCAAATAATTTTCCAATATTATTCACATACAGCATACATACATAACATGTAAGATTATATAATTAAAAAATAAAAAGAAGATTCTTCAATTGTTAAAATAAAATAACTTCAACTTCACCTATAATATAACAATATACAATTTGAATTCTGATAGAATGGACCCACCATACTATATTAAAATTTATAGAATTTAGTAATGATTGATTATATAAAATGAATTAAAGAACAACATGTTTTTTAAAGGCGAATAAAAATGCAAAAGTAAGTATTAAAACCACAAGATTTAAGATATCAAAAATAAAATTAATAGAATGCTATTTTAGTTATTTTATAATATATTTAAACAGACAGAACTAATGGTTTCTTGGGGCATGTATATTTATTTTTATTTGTCATAAGTGATGGACTAAAATGATGACATATATAACTTGGAAGCTTACAACTTTGGTTCTCAAATTATAATTCAAATAAGAGGTATCTTAGGTAACTAGTGATTATCAAATTAAAATTTGAAAAATATAAAAAAAAATGGATAATCATTTAAAACATTAATAATAGAACCATTAATAAAACTAATGCAAACATTTTAAAAAGGTATATGGTAAGATAAAGTATACTCTTCTTTCAGTAATATGTAAATTGACATAAACAAAATATTGAACATTGAAAGAAAAAATAAATCAATACAATATTAGATGATTGTAATTACCTTTTCAATATCACTTTTATGTTTTTTAACTAGTTCCATGGTGTGATCGTAAGCTTTTGTCACCAGTAATTTTACTTCTGTATCGATCAAATGAGCAGTGGTTTCAGAGTATGGTTTCTCAAAAGTCATTTCTCCAGGTTGAGGTAAATCAAAGCTAACATTACCTACTTTTTCATTCATACCAAAATGTGCGACCTAAAACATCAACATTTTATAAATTTTTATAGATTGACCATGTCATATTATATTAATAATACTTATGATATTGTTCTATCATTTCTTACCTGTGCATAAGCATTTTCAGTAACTTTTTTCAAATCGTCTTGGGCACCAGTTGTGATTTCATTGAAAAACACTTGTTCTGAAACTCGTCCACCAAGAGTCATACACATTCTGTCAAACAACTGACGTTTGGAATATAAATATTGTTCTTTAGGTAAATATTGAGCATAACCCAATCCTTTTCCTCTTGGTATAATAGAAACCTATTAAATGAATAAATATTAAAAGAAGTCAAATTAAAATACAATAACAGAAAAAATTTATATAAATATTTGTTATCTTGGGCTTATAAACATCAAAATCATGTTAAGTAAGTATAATAAACTATAATTTATTATAATATAGAAAAATTAATATATTCCCTCTTATAAAACAACTTGTAATTTAAAATATTATTTAATATTAAAATATAATGTAATATGCATCTTAAGCTTCAAGTTTTAATTAAAAAATACAAGATTTTACTTATTTAATATAAGTAACAACCTTTATGCAATGGCCCTTTATACTTTAATTGTAAATAAATTATCTCCAACAATACTTTCAACAATGGATCTGCATATTGTAAGAACCATCCGCAGACAGCATGGCCAGCTTCATGGTAAGCTACTATTTTCTTTTCTTCTGCTTGCAGAACTCTACTCTTTTTTTCCATTCCAGCTACTACTCTCTCAATAGCTTGTTCAAAATGAGTTATTGTAATACTACTTGCCAAATCTCTGGCTGCTATTAATGCTGCTTCATTACATACATTAGCAATATCCGCCCCTGAATAAAACCAATATTAATAAATTTGGTATTAAAAAATAATCTCTGTTTATTCATAATATACCTGTAAACCCTGGCGTACGAGCTGCTAACTTTCTAGCAGTCTTCAAAATATCTAAATCGGTTTTTAATGGTTTTAGATGCACACCAAAAATAGATGCACGGCCCTTAATATCAGGAGCTGGAACATATATTTGTCGGTCAAAACGTCCAGGACGCATTAATGCCGAATCTAAAACATCTACTCTGTTAGTAGCTGCTAAAACAACTACATTAGTAGTTGTATTGAACCCTGTTGCACAAAAAAATATATGCACATTAATTCAACTACTAAATTATGATTTCAATATAATGTACCATCCATTTCTACTAGCAATTGATTTAAAGTGTTTTCTTGTTCGGAGTGACCTCCCATGTTACGACCACCTCTTTTTTTACCAACGGCGTCAATTTCATCAATAAATAATATACATGGAGCATGTTTGCGAGCCATAGTAAACATATCTCTGACTCTTGATGGGCCAACACCAACAAACATTTCCAAAAATTCTGAACCAGACACAGATAAGAAAGGTACATCTGCTTCCCCAGCAGTGGCTTTAGCGAGTAATGTTTTTCCAGTACCAGGAGGCCCTGAATATAGTTTCAATAGCAATTATTATATTTAGTTGACCATTGTTTTAATCTATGATAAATATACCTGTCAGCATAGCTCCTTTAGGAATTTTAGCTCCAAGATCTAAATATTGTTGTGGATTCTTCAAAAAATTTACAAATTCCATGATTTCTATTTTGGCTTCTTCGCAACCAGCTACATCCCTAAATCAATTAGTCAATTGAATACTATGATTATTGTAATATAATAATTATAATTGATTTACTTGAAACGGACATCAATGTCTTTTGGATCAACAAGTTTAGCTGTTGAATCCATAACCCCTCCAAAAAGCCCACCTCCTCGCTTACCACGGCCAGTCATCATTTCAGCTGATCTTCTCATCATAAATAATAAAAATCCGATAAACAATAAAGTCGGAAGGAATCCAGAAAAACTACTAGCTTCTATTTCAGTTTTGTAAACAACAGGTATAAAATTAGATGGTTCTAAATTTAATTCAATTTGTGCGTTTTCCAGACTCCTTTCAAAAGAGTCCACACTACCAATGTTAAACCACAGGGTCGCCTATAACATTTTTTTCCATATAAAGAATAAATAAAGAATTATTTTTTTGTTGAATATTTTCTTACATTTCCATCAACGGAAGATCCTGGCTGTAGGTTAACTCTCACCCATTTCTTATTAACAACTTCTAATTTATCGACCACATGTCTATTTAAATAGCTGAAATCAATAAATAAACATATATGTTTAAGATACAAAATTGTATAGTTAATATACAATTATAAAACTTAAGAAAATAATTAACAGAATTTAATCAAATTCAGATAAAATAGTAATTATTTTATGCCAAATAAAATATATTACAATATGAGTAGATACATACTTATTAACAAAATCTTTCCAAGTTATTTCTTTGTAGGTCATATTATAGTAGCCAATAATACTGATTAAACCAAGTACGCCAGCTACACCATACAAAAGCCATTTTTCTTTTTCAGAATCACCAGAAGATCCAGATGATCTAATAAAACAAAGAAAAATAATTCATTAATAAACAGTTATTTAGTACATTTCAAACATAATTATTATTAAATAATGAAGGTTTTTATAATCCTTCAATAATAACTTTAAGGGGGGGTAAAAATTAATTTGACATAGGTATTTTTCAAATTACTTAACTCATTTTTTTTTAAAAATAAGAACAAACTCAAGTTCGCTATTATTATGTATATTTAACTAAAAGTACAATAAGAAGATAACATTTTGAAATTAATTTCCCAAATATTTATTAATAATAAATGTATTAAAATATTATATAACATATGTATAATTCTAACAATTTAGAAAAATAACTTGAAATATGAGTTGATAAGTAAAAATAATACTGAATATTCATCTTCTTTTTCATCTGAGTCGGACTCAGGAATCGGTTGCACTGCATTTATAAAGTCTTAATACTCCAGTTTTATTTATTTCAGTAAATGTATAAAATCTAAAATAACTTTATAGTCGGAATGATCATTCTATATGAGTATATTTTTTTCCTTAGACAATTTTTATTTAAAACTATTTTAGTAATTGTTAATGTAACCAATTTACATTTAAAAAACTAACTAGATACATATTGTACATGCTACATAAAGAAGATATATGGCAACAATAATGATAGTCTCATTTGTACATTTATAATTGTAAAACAGTTATTATAATGATACAGTTTAAGATATATTTTTTACAAATTACTTTGAGTTATCTATTTTTACATTTGACTTATAGCGACAAATATTGCATTAAGTGTAAAGGAATTTCTAAAGAACAGGAAAATAATTTAAGTTTTCAAAATCAACTGTATTATCAATGTAAATTATAATAAGCAAAAATAATAAAAGCCATAATACTAAAAATTTTAATTTAGAAAAGATTTGAAAAATAATTCTTGAGTTTTCACTAATTTTGATTTTTTTAAGTATATAGATAAGCAGTTTAATAGTATAAAAAATAATGAATTACAAAATAACTGTAATAAATATTAACATAATTCTATAAAATTTAAAGTAATATTTTATTTAATATAATTGTTGATTAAGTAAATTTAACTCAGCTAATTAAAGAAAAAAATTAGAAATTTAATATTATAAATATCATTGAAAATAAGTGACTTTGATGTACTTTTAAAAGAAAAAAAAATCTATTAAATTAGTAATCAACAAATATTAAAGTTTTATGTTGTTTTGCCAGTCAAGTTTTAAGAATTGTAAAAAAAAATTTAATTGGAGGGGGGGGTAAGGTTTTTACATTTTGGAAAGTTTAGTCTTTTAGTCTGTATCTATATGTACTTATGTATTAGGTACTAATGAATTTTAAAGTATTTAGTTTAAGGATCAAAATTACTAAGAAAGAATTGTTGGCATTTTACCATTTATTAAGAGAATGGATTGCACCATGTTGTAAAATCATAAGAAATCCAAATTAATTATTCATATTTATAAATTAATAATATATACATATATTTATAAAATAAAATATATAATTGAGATATAACGAAACATGACAGATAATAAAGGTTACATGGCATTAGAATCCAATAGATAATAACTTAAATAAATTATTTGAATATCTAATATAAAAAAATTGTAATAACTTCATTGGTTTTCGATTATAGAAACAGTAAGAAATAAAAAAATTAAAATTGTAAACCTATCAATAAACAATCAACACATAGAGTAAAAATCTATTTATGTATCTTTAGACTTCATAAAGTGATATAATTGATAAATCTGAATGAACGTATATAAAATTAACAAGACTATAATCGAAACAAAATTTTTAAATAAACCATGTTGTTATTCGTTATGTACTATATAAATATTTGTCTTATAGCAGTTCAGTTTATTTTAAAAACATACATTGAAAATTTCTTTTAAATGATAAGCATATAAACGGTATTGTAATGGTAACACGTACCCTTGAGACATTCTGTTTATTCTCTTCTTAAATGCATTATCAAACGGATTGGGAATACCCTGGGGGCTGTCGGACTTTTTGCTTTTGGATTTGTTGTCTTTGTCAAAATATTTTTCGAAACCCGTCGGTGGTTTTTCGTTCCAAGCGGTCCATTCCTTGAGCACCGTGCCCAGACTCGGCAACACCTGACGTCTGCTCAACAAGCTCAACTGACGGTTCAACTGTAAAACAATCAAAACCATTCGGTGACGACGGTACTCGATGCGTATTCAACGACACTTCTGACGCGCCCGGTGCCGAGACGGCTGTTATAAACACATATATTTCTGTACTCACGGCGAAGTTGTCCAAACGGCCCGTACGGATACCGTTCATCAACAGCCTTTCGACCTTCTTCGATATCGCGAAAAACCTCTGCGACATGTTCACTAACCTAATCTAACTACAACTAAATAATAATCGAACGGCACATGCGACGACGGAAATTTAACGAATCGGACGGGACGGTTGGTCTGGCATTGTATATTTCATGTACGAAAATTAACGTTATCAGAATTTTTCTGCCCGCAGTGCTCCGATCGCGACGGCCGGTGATAACGCGCAATGGTGCCAGCGGACGGACGGCCGACCACGCGGTTGGTGTCACTGCAGCAATGGGCGGCGGTCGCGGCTCGGGGGAAAACAATAAGCGTTGGATAGCCGTCGCGGCGTACTTTCAAACGCGCGGTCCCTGCTCGGCCAGCAACAGAGTCAGGAGCGTGTTAAGATTTACTTCTAGGGGAGGGGACTCAAATTTTTTTTCTAATTCAGGCTCAAAATGTACAAGCCAAATTTTAGTAATATTTAAATCGGGTGCATCCTTAATATTTGTGTTTTTTTTTTTTTTTTTTTTAATCTTATGTCGGATCCACTTAGAAGTTGTTTTTTAACACCTGTTTGTGTTTTTAAAGTTACGCTTGTGTTTTATTTGATTTTTCACTAAGTATGGACCCGACTAAAATCACAATTCAGTATTCACAGCAACGCGTAATTTGATCCACATTAAAAAAATGTATAATGTGTATCTCACATACTCGTATAATCGATTGTTTAAATACATATTCAGGGGAGGTGCGATCGCTCCCTCCGCACCACCTCTTAAATAGGCCCCTGAACAGAATTAGATCGGTTTATTTAGTCCACGCGGTCAGCCCTGTTGGCACCGATCGCACCAACAACGGTAGTAGGCCACGAAAATGTCGGGTCTGTGCGATCGCTGCGGTCGGTACAGGGATGGGCCAATGACAACGCTGTAATGATCTTTTGAACTTGAAACCAATATACCAGCGGTTCAAACCACGAGCACTTTCATAGGACACCGCGGTCTGCGGTTCATAACGAATAGTTTAAAATGTATAGAATTTTTTCTCCTTATTGTTTTCGTCAAAACTTTATAGCAAATAATGTAATATTTTCTGTTATATAATCGGACATTTTCATTTAAACCTTATAATATTTGTATGTAATAATTATAATAATAATAACAATAATTGTTGTTTATTTATTATTTTTAAGTTTAAAAATACATTAATTTACAATTAAATTAAATTTTAATAAAATTGGTTATCAATGAGTATTTTTTTTTTTATTTCCTTTTTGTTCTGTCTTTCATGTTATTCACAGCCGGGCACCATGACTAAATTGGGTTCAAAATAAAAGGCACCACGGAGAAGAAAGTTTGGAAACCGCTGCAATGTATCATTGTTCTCGAAAAAAAACGATTTCGAATGGAAGAGATCGGTCGGATTGGCTCATTTTTCTAGAGATGATTTGTGGAGCGGTGGAACCCAATTTTTAATGTGGCGTCAAACTTTAAACGACCTAACTCTTGCACATAGAAAATTAAGCATGCTAGATTTGGAAAAATAGAAAATTGTCGAGTAACTATAAACAGAACGAATTTCACTAACTATAGTGTTAATAGTGTCAATAACTATTTCAAGACCACGAAATGTCTTTGAAATATATTTGTACGTATTCGGTAAATGTTTCGAGTTGCTACGGTTAATATTCATAGGATGACTACGGTACTATTTATTCTTTAATAGAAATTTGCTGAAATATACAAATTCGTCCACATCCACTTTCTAACGTTTATAAAACATTTTTGCAAATTTCCAGTAAAGCTTTTATTTTAGCTACAAAGAAAATCCTGTGAAAATACAAATCTCCAATTATCAAAATCGTCCTATTACCCCTTCCCCTCCCCTCACTCGATGACAACGGTCCTAGAACTACTAATCGATTTTTATAGTTGAGTAAAATGTTAAAACTCAGAAATTTGGTACTAAACGAAGGCGTGTATATTTTAACTGTTCACTATTTTCATTTGCATTCACGTTTCAATTATAATGTCCAATAATCGCGGCGATCAGTGCGTTGCATGTCGAGTGATGTCAAAAGCCACAAGTTTTTAAACTTTTTTAACTAAAAAATATAAACGAAATAAAATTGGAATCATGATCATGGCACACATTCTAGTTGAAACACACTGCGGCGGAGAGCACAAGACACCGACAAATAATTAACGCGCATTACATGGATATGGCAATAATACGCGCATGAGTACACATTCCAAAAACGTGTTATACTGCTAAAAATGTTGATAAAATCGAAGCAATAATCAGCAAGTACCTAAATTGAATATCTGAATTCAATGAAATCAAAGGAATATCCTGAAAAAATTTGATGCACATTAAAATATTGGTATACTGATCGAAGCGTATGTTTGTTTACGTGTTCTGCTCAACACGTGAAATAAATATGTATTAGAGGTATATTATTATTATTATTTATCCTCTTGATACAAACACAAAAATGACGTGAGGTTATTAAATGAATTGAACTTTTTAATTATCGAAGGTTTAAAAGTCTCATGCAACCCTATGCCTAACTTCTTAGTAGTTTTCGTGTGTCCATAATGCTAAAAAACAATACTAATGATACACATCACAGTTTTACATTATTTGAAAAATAAATACCTACCAAAAACAAATGTGTTTTTATTATACTTTTTTTTATTTTATTTTATCGTAAAATGCACAACGTCATATAGAGATGTCAATTCATGTTATGTAAATTAAATTGTGTTGTTTGAGTTCGACTAAGTTTGTAAATAAAGGTGCTAGAAATTCGCTCAATAAATATGAATCAAAAACATATTTCTTTTGTAGACTACGAACATTTCAAAAATCTAAATCTGAAATCCGTATAATTTCATTGTAATTGGACAATCTGCAAAAATAAATATGCACTCAGAAATATTATTTTCAATTAATTTCATAAAAAAGGTATGATAAAAAATTAAATCGAGCATAAAAATCATCATAATTTATTCTATATATGTAACGTGCACTTGCTGTAGTAAACATTAGACGGGCAAAGACAATTAAACACGAGCAGACATCCATCAGACGGATATCTTGTTATGTATTATTATCTGTGAAAATGATGATGACCATATCTTGATATCTTCATACGATCAAAGTTTACACAGTGGACGTTTTATTCGACATATTCGGCCACTTCCAACTTGTTCTATTCGTTAATAATCTGAATATTATCTTATAAAATCGAATCCGGTTGTCATCCGAATAATTTTTTCTACCAGTATGTTACAAATTCAGAACGGTACGCGATATAAGAAACCGAAGACGTCACAGTGCGGGATTAAAATACGACGCTCTTATTGGTCGATTTCAAATTGCCACACTTTTATATATGAATCGTTATTGATTAACTATATTTTAATTATATTATTATTATGTTTAATTTTGTGATAATCATCACTTAATCATCATGTTAATATCATTGGTATTATTGATTATCGCTTAATAATTATATGGAGAAACAATGTTACTTACTTTTCTTATTTTTTAAATAATATTTGCACATCAAGTCATCAAATATGAATCTTAAAAATATCATTGATGAAATAAGTAATAGAGAATTGCGTTGCGAATTAGTTACTATTTAGAATGATGTCGAAGTGATACATTGTAATTTATATATTGAAGATGATGTTGACATATTTTTTGCTTTATTCGAAGAAAAATGTGCCACTAATTGGATTGTTCAGGGCCAATTAAATAATCCAGTGAGGTGTGTAAAATATATAATTAAGTATATTTATATTTGCTGATATTTATTATTACCATTCTTAATATTTATACATTCTTAATGATATTTTGAATATCAAATTTTAAGACGTAGAAATAACCACAGTATAATTACTTGTTAGTAATATCACTGAATATTACTAACAAATTTTACATTATTATTATAAATAATAATGATTAAAATAATATAAAATTCATGTTAATACCAAATAGGACAGGTATTTAAATTATTTTACAATAATTGTATGCAAGTTCTAATTATAAAATATTGAAATTGTAAGTTGTACCTATTAAGTATTATTAACTATTAACAAAAACGAACAATATTACAATAGATTAATCAAAACAATTAGGAAATTTTTTTAAGAAACCCTAAGATCACATTACCCTCATTTAAGAGTGTTACAAACATTAATTATTCAGTTATTGAAAATTTAAAATTAAATTATATCAATGAACAAATAAATTAATGGGTAAATAATGATAAAACTGTATATTTTTAACACATACTTCTGAAAACTGGATTTATTCTAAAAATTGTAACTGCCACTGGTTATGATGTAATGATTATGTTTACCAATCAAAGTAAGTCTTGAAGATAATGTAGGTATAATTTTAAGAGGTCATGTAAAATAATGCTGATATTATATAAATCATAAAATAAATATAGAATACTCTAGCATTAATCTGGACAATTATTCTTATTTATTTCATCTATGATATTTTTAAGATGCATATTTGATGACTTGATATACAAATATTATTTAATTTACTTTAATTTTTCCTATTTATTTCATCTATGATGATAGCTCAATAATAATAATTCATATAATAAAAGCGCGGCAATTTGAAATCGACCAATAAGAGCATCATATTTTAAACCCGCACTGTGACGTCTAGGGTTTCTTATATCGCGAACGGTACACTGAAAAAATATTTATAAAGTAATTCGATCATTAGTAATTAAATATTTGTAAAAGTCATAATGTGTAAAAATATGGATTTTAGAGGATGGATTTTTAAGAAAAAATAAGTTTGTTTTTTCACTAGGCCGACAAGTTTCACATTTGACGGACGACTGTATGAGATTATTTCCATCTCTTTCGTCCAATACTAGGTTTTTCATAGTTTTTGAATAACATATTCAACCGAAGCGTTTCCATCACCATCAACTGCATCATCGAGGACAATTTCGGCTTGTGCGTAATCGAGTATTCGCATAGTTTCTCAATCACGCCGCTCTGCAATTTGTAATTCATAATTTAAACGCGCGTGTTTTGCGATAGATGCTTTGTATTTAAAACACTATTTTGCGCTGAAATAATCGAAGTAAAGTGAAGTGGTGGTAAATCTTACAATTTTGAATGCGTTTCCGGCGTGCTCTGGTATAATACACACGCATTCATTCGATTGATGTTTCTTTTGAGCTCTCCGCGAGTTTTGCCACGCACATCTCTAGTACAGGAGGCACTAAAACGTTCACTTTTAAGAGTTCGCATATGAGCCTGGAAGTTAAGGATAAACATTTTTTACTCCTATTATTTCATCTCTTCCGATCATAAAATTGTTAAACTATCGGTTGCGAGTATACCTGCAGTTTGCAATCGCACGACTCCTGTGGTCCAATTCTTTTTGATCGTATGACGATTGGAGTATTTTTCGCATTTTCTGTAACGTTACAACCATATCGCATTAGGATATTTACGCAAAAAAAAAAAAATAAAATAAAAAAATATGATAATTTTATTGTTTGTCAAATCAAACAAATTCGGCGCTATTGAGAGTCGTTCATACTTTATTTTTACAGGATTCGATTTCGATGCGATCTTTGGTTATCATTTGTTTACGGTTGAACATCGCCTCGAATTCGTTTTGACACACTGTAATCAACTGCGTTCTAAACGAAGTAATGAATTTCCGGTCTTTTGAATGCACTACCATGTCTTTCATAAGCGAACAAATATGCGCGTATTGAGGGATTAATTCCGGTTTGTCCATAGCCTAAGAAATTTAAAAATATAAAATAATTCACACCATTAAAGCATATATCAATGTGTATCATAATTTAATTCTATTTTTTTTTTTTTTTGTATACCTTCTGAAATAAAAGTTCAACCACGTTTTTCAGACAACCGTCTGTTTTTATTGGTAGCGAAATCATTTTTTTCGCCATCGGCACAATATTTTCCGCAGTTATATTGTCAATAATCGATCGATATTTTTTCTGCATTTCCTGCAAGAACGACAAAATACGTTTAGTCACTCGTAAAATTCTAATTCAAAATATAACGTGTTTCGTCGAATAAAATTTACTTCTATTTCAATATCCTCAGTGTTCGGCGAATGGCATTCTTCTATGCTCTCGGGCAGTAGGCCTATACATGGCAATTCCAGTGATTTGTTATTATTTTCAACATCACTTGAAGGTAACAATGACTGTTTTGGACCACTTATTTCTGTGGCATTTGCTAATTCATCATTTTGAATCACAACGACCTGAAGAAAAACAACAAATGAATTTAAATAAATATTTAATGCTCAAATATCATTATATTATATTTTAAATATTTTCATAATTCATTCTTCAACTAATAATTTTTAAAAACATCATCGTAAAAACAATAATTTTGTTGAAATAATTTAAATAAATATATAATAAAAAAAAAGATCCATTCTCGTACGATTTTGCAACATTTTTAACTACTTATTTCACTAGTCGAAAAAAATAAAATAAATTGTTTGTCGTTGATTTTAAAATATATTATAACCTTTTGAATTTCCTTAGACGGCTTAATTTTTATTTGGTCGTTCAGTTTTCGTGGTGTGTTTTTCTATTAAAAATGACATAAGAATGTTAACACGTAATTTACAACAAAATTATTTCAACTATGTTACGAGTATCATAACTTTCGTTGAATTAATAAAAAAATATATGTATATTACTGTCGATAATACATTCAGTGCCGGTGCTGAGAGTTTTTCCGGTTTCGATGATATCTTTGGGTTGCATACCTCCTGTTTGGGACGAATATTTCTTGGTACCCAATCATTGTCCTTCAGTTCTATCGTATCCTGTATCATGAATCGTATTCTCATTGAAATTGTATTCTTGTACTTTGCAGACATGTACTCGTGAAGTTTATTAAAAGTGGTTTTCTGTAATCATAATCCAACCAATAAACATTACAACGAATTTTGATATTTCGATCGCGTTTCAACGATCGAAAAATTGCATTAGTAAAGTATCGTATAGTCCATAATGAGAACTCGACATTTTCTTACGTGACTTATTGTTTTTCCAGTATGTTTTAGTATATTACATGCACATTCAAGGGTTTCTTCATTTGGCGTTTTAAGTAGGTATTTTATACTTGTTTCCAGAGTTTGACTCATTAATATACCCACCTTATAAAGTTCGCACATGTATCTGAAAATCAAAAAATACATCGTTTACAGCCGACATTACTAATTTAATTTTACTCTTGTACACTATGTTCGTACCTGCAATTTCCTACAGATCTTTTCCTGTAGGCCATTTCTTCTTGGTCATACTTAGATTTAAGTTGATCCTTAACACCCTGTAAAATTGTATTCTTATTGTATAACGTGTAAGAGAGATGGTGTCATAGTCAATGGAAGCTATATCAAAGATTTGAATGAGATGTTTACTTGATCTTGGTAATCATCGATTGCTCGAAGTTCTTTGGCCAAAGTTTCTTCGTGAACGCGCATTTCATTTAACCGTTCTTGACAGCACTTTGTCAATAATTTTTTGAAAGAATTTTTCGACTTCGTGCCGTTCTGATTTACTTCTTTCTTGTCTATTGCCGTGCATATGTATGCGTATTGCGGAGTATAATTCGGTTCGTTTATAGCCTGAAAAGTATTTATGGTTAAAAATATACACAATAATCGTCTCTGCAGATAGGCAAATGTTTAAATGAGTTGCAAATATTCAAAAACAAATCGTAAATTACTTATGCACAGATGGACATGTATACTTTATGACATACTTTTTGAAACAATAGTTCTATGACTTTGTTTTTGCACTTTTCCGTTACGATCGGCAAACACATAATAGATTCCGTCAACAGGACCATGTTATCCGGTGACAATTTATTAAGAATGGACATGAACTTCTTTCGAACATCCTTGATGAGCAGAAAAAAAGAACGAATTATGGTTATTTTCGTATAAAGTCGCACAACAGAAATAAAATGTTTAGCATAATCCGAAGTGGATCTCGCATATCGCTCGACGCGATTTCGCTATCGAACGAAATACTACTCAATTATTTACTTCTATCTGTAATTCTTCATCGCTCAACGGTTGACTGTTGTTCGTGCCCTTCGCTCTCAGGCACGAAGGAACCCACGCGTTCTCTGATGTATGCAATTTAATTTCATCTTTTTTCGGCAGGAAAAAATTAATCACCTTTCGCTTGGTAGATCCCGGATTTGGATCCACGATGGATGGCATCATCGTCTGAAGTAATCGTTTAAAACAGTATTTCTTTAGATCAAAAACGTACGAAATGTATATTATCACTAGATTACCGCGGCAATCGGCGTTCCTGACTGGTCCGTCTGACGTCTTCGCAATTGATACGATTGCACATCCCGTTCCATCGGTTGTCTGTTTACAGGGTTTCGGGTCATGAATCCCTCGCACTGCAAGTTTCCGGTTTCGTTGTTCGGTGCTTCAGATGCTGAATTTTAGTTTTACACGAATTATTTATACGCAATAAAAATTTTCGCGTTCTATTTACTATTATTTTAATTAAAATGTTTACCGTTGATTGCTTTGCATTGACTCATCTTTCCTGTTTCTATTTTTATAGAGAAGTAAAATTTATATAAATGATGTATTACACCACCGATTGAATACTCTGAAGAAAAATATGAAATGACGAATGATATTTTCAAAATATAAATTCGTGGCAATTTCACAGAACAGAATTGGTCAACTGAAATATATTTTCATTTGTTTATGCATATCAATTTTTTTTATTTTTATGTTGCATAGTAGCCAAAAATACATAAGTCAAAACGATATTAGCCAACCTGTTTTTAATCAAACATAATAATAATTATTTGTTACAATTATTGTGAAAATTCTAAAATACGACTTCGATTAAATACTTCATTGGACGATAGCAGTTTGGTTTACATCCGAGTCTAACACAGACGTGTGTGATATTAACAGCATAAAGATTTTTTTCCCCCAGAGGTGCGGGATCAGTTCTATAGATCACGTCTTCTTTTGATTTTACTTAACCGAATTCCTATTCATTGCGAAGAAACATATTGAAACGTCGTTAATTTTTTTAAAGACACATAAACGATTTTTTCCGTTCGTTTATTGTTAAATGTGGATGATTTAAATAATTATAAAAATTAAAAGAATGATTTTTCACAAACTTTGTTTAGAAATGTATTTACTTAATTTACTGATTACCGTTGATTCAACTATTGATTATTATTATTATTATTATAAAAATTATTACATATTTTTCTTTTATATGTAGAAAGAACTTGAACAATTCTTCAACTGAAAAGTTCCAAAGCTATCACGCACGTTGGCTGAAATATCGTTTCACAACTGTACGAGATAATGCGGACGTACATGGCGTGCGTCGTATACACGCATGCACACCGATTACACTAGTAGGCGTACCGTGCATGTTTATGCGTACAGCGTATTTGTATGACACGAGGTTGATTAACATTTATGTTGAAGCTTAAAGGCCACGTTTCCATAAAACTAAAACCGTCTTATGAAATGTCGAATAATTGAACGGCGTTAATATCGAAACAAGCTGCCGCGGCGGTATACGTACGTAATAATGATGACAATAATAGCCTTCGCGTACTGTTATCGCGTGTTGTCCTTACATTATTAAGGTGCATGCCGGATGTAGATCGTATAGGTTACTACAGTCACTGCAACAGTCCGTAAGTGTGCGCAGTATTTAGAGATCGATCTAGCGATCGCCGCTCAAAGCTCCGGCTAGATCAATTACAATAATTCTGATGTACATTTTGCACGGATATAAGAATCTACAGGTAGATCGAAAAAATAAAAAATGTCAATCGCAGCAATTTATATACGATTGGATTTAAAATGTTAAAATGAAAGTTGTATGGTACAACATTTAATAAGATTTTATTTTATTTTTTCATCAAGAATGACGATGCAGATTAATGTCCTAACCGCAGGGCTGCTATTGCCATCGGATGTAATTGAGTATGCATAGTTAAATCACATGTATTACAATATATTAACGATTAATACCATTTTCTTTTTTTTTTTTTTTTTTTTTTTTTTGTATGAATTAAGTTGAATACAACGAGAAAAAGAGGATAGATAAATATGTAAGAATATAAGAGAGATTTTGTGATTCATAAGAATTTACTAACATTTAAAAACAAATATTTAAAAAATTAATGAAAATTAAAAACTGTATGTGTCTAATAATACTTAATACAATGATAAAATTTTTTAACCGATGGATATTGAACATTTATCAAAGATTTTAGTTTTTTTTAAATATTTATTAAACTTTGAACACTCAAATATTTATCTAAAAATTATATATTTAAATATATCTATGCTGTGTAGGTGATTTAATTTCAGCTGTATATCTGTCTACGTGTTAAGTTCTTCTCGTATTTTAATGTTCCTTAGCGAATGGGTACAACAATTATGTTATTACATACCAACGATCGACAAAACACTATGAAATTGTTAATTCATCTTAGATAAAGTGTCTTTTGAAACTTATAGATATTTAATTTTTTTTTTATCGGAATACATACAATCTGTAAATTTATTTTTACAATGAGCATGTTTGCTTTAATAGTATAATTACATGAATAATTTGATTAAAGGAGTTACCTAGTAGTTACACTTTGACTTGGATTTTATTTATTTTATTTTGTTATATTTCATCAGTGTTTGATTACACGTAAAACTTATAAATTTCTTCCAATATTAATAAAAATAAAAGGTCTTTATATTTATTTTACATATTTTATTTTCATAACAACTAAACATATGTTTCTTTCAATTAATTATTCATTATTTTTTTTCGCCTAAATCGATTATTCTGACAATCAAACAATAACAACAAAACATTAACTTTATAAAAACAATAGTCCATTCATCAAAAAAATTAACATTAAATATTTTCTTTGACGGGATTCTATAATATGCATATCTATGGAATTGATTTCAAAAACAAAGAGTCCATTCATTATTCGACTTAGTGACTTTTAGGGCTGAGGAAACCATGCTTCCTCTGTTGCTCACGGTTTCCACCATTCTCAGTGCATTTTTCTAGCTATTCATGTCGCGAAAAAATAAAATAAAAATTCCAATACATTAAACGTAACAGGGAAAATATGAGCACCGGCCAGCGCAATTACGATATTATTATAAAACGTCTACGATTGTTTCCAACGAATTTTACGGCACGGTAAGTGATTACGCGTTACGTGGCTTTGATACTAGTATATTCGCGTGCCACAAACGGGTATATTTTGATGAAAACTTGCATTAGACCACGTTAGATCGGCTGCTAGAACAGTTACTGACAAATTCGAATCTGCTATTCCAAGTGTCCGTTTGTTGTCGCATTAGTATATTAAAAACTATTTCACACCTGTTGGTCACCATCGTGTTTATTATTAAATATGTTATTATTGATAGCTAATGCGGTTGTTTGCTTTATTTGTTTATTAATGTAATGTTCAGCAATATTTATGTCGAATTTATTTATTATTATTTATGTCTAACAGTTGAACAAAACAATTTGAGGATTCCAAAAAGTAGTACCTATTTTTAGCTAGAGATTTGAGTTCTGGATTAATGACTCTTTTAATGTAAATTGTCTTCATGTTTTAGACATTATACAGTATTGATAGTAAATAATTTGAATTAAAGATTAAAAAAAAAAAGATGATTTTCCAACATTGTCATATGAATCCGAACACAACGACTTTGTAGTGTAGTATAACCAGTGTTGTGTTCAGATAAAAAAAAAAAAAAAAAATATCTAGATAAAGATAGATCGGGCAAACAATTAATCTATCTAGATATATAGGCTTAATATATTTTTCTTCGATTAAAAGGTCCTGGAAAACAGCTGTTATTTTAGTATACAATTTTACTTTTGTCCGTAACAGTTATAATACACTGATTAATCGATTGTATTATATAATAGATACGTGTTCCTGTACTTGATAAAAAAAAAAAATAAATAAATAAATAAAAAATTAATTTAATTAAAGTATACGAGCTTTTTGTTCGTGATTTATGTGTTGGTCGTATATTTTATACATGCGATCAATAAATTACGTTCCGTTGTCAAACCGAAACTCGGCGACCGAGTGTCGTTATTTCGACCTTTCCTGTGTACACGAGCGACGGGCCTCGGTATACACACATTTCTGTACGACAGGTACGTGCGCACACATTAAATAACGCGTTTACTGTGGGCACCACGGTTTTTTTTTTTTTTTTTAACACTTTTAAATGTTTAAAAGCATTGGTCTAGAGCGATTATATTTTC